GAAATTGAAGATATAAATTAAATAAATAAATAATATTTTATAGGCATAAGGGGCTGACAGTGCCATCCTGTGAGGCCCCATACCTCACCCCAGGGGATCTGGCTACAGTGACCCCTGCAATGGTCGCTTCCAGACTGAATTATTGTAATTCTTTCTACATGGGGCCTCCCTTGGCTCTGCTCCGGAAGCTGCAGCTGGTGCAGAACGCAGCAGAATGGGTGTTGACTCCGTCGTCTGTGTGGATGCATATCCACCCTGTGCTGTGCAAACTGCACTGGCTGCCTATTGAGTAGTGGATCTACTACATGGTGCTTCAAAGCCCTATACGGCGAGGGGCCGGCATACCTGCAAGTCGAAGAGCGTTACAATCTGCTAATCAGCATCTGCTGGTGGTCCCAGGCCTCAGCTAGGGCCAGGGCTTTTTCAGCCATGGCCACTACCTGGTGGAATGAGCTCCCATAGGAGATCAGGGCCCTGTAGGACTTATAGATCCACAGGCCCTGCAAGATGGAGCTCTTCCACCAGGCTTTTAGTTGAGGCGGCGTGTTATGTATTGAAATGACTTAAGGAATCACCACATTCACTTCCCATGCGAAGCTTCAAGCCGGACGACGGCTCCTCGGAACTACCTTGCTATTGGTCGCTCTGTTTCAGCGACCAATCAGAACGGCACCTATGCCCTGAGCGGGAATGTATTTCATTGGACTTTATCCAGACAACCTCATTGGTTGTTATGTGTAAATAGGCGTGGCTACGTTAGCCCGGGAAGGTTTAAAAGGAGCCTAGCTCCTCATGTTAAACTGTTCTGGTTATGAATACTTTTAAGCGCTTGTTCGTACCTTCAATAAAGCTGATTACTTTGCTGAAATCACTCTCCGGATCTTTGTTAGCGGCGATCTAACACGGCGGGTGTCCTCCTTTTATGTATCTATTGGAACCCCCCTTCAGTGGATCAGATCTGTGTAACATCTGGAACCCCAGTTTATCATAGGCCCATCTGTTGAGTCTTTAATTAGTTATACAGGAATTGCATGGTATTTTATCTGATATATTTTAACTGTTTTTAATTATTTGTATATTATATTTGATGGAACCCGCCCTGAGCCTGCTATGTGAGGAGGGTGGGATACAAATCCCATACAATAAAATAAATCCTAAACAGAGTTGCACTCTTCCAAAACCACTGATTTCAGTGGAATTGCACCCTTCTGTAACTTTTCTTAAGACAGCACTATTAATCTCTCCTGCAATGATGACTGGGGAAAGTAACAAACATTATATCTGTATTGTCTCTTACAGTGCATTTAAAGAGAAACCTTGGCTTCAGCAACTAAGCATCGCAAGAACCCTAGCGAAAAAAAGTATCTGCAAACCTGTGTGCTGAATGAACCCAGTTTTAAGTGAGCTTATCCAGGAGATGATCCATCTAGAAATTAAAACAACATTCAGCCACATTCAGTGAAGTTGCTATCCTAAGGACATACTTCCCTGGGAGTAAACCCCATTGTATAAACATGGACTTACTTCTGAGTAGACCTGCTTAGGCTGGCTCCCCAGTATTCCTTTATCTCCACGCAACAATGTCCAGAGAGCGTTTAACAAACATTATTAATAAAGTATACATTTTCAATGAGTAATATATAACACATGACTGCGTATTTGGAGGGTTGTTGTTCAGAAGTCTGTGATCATTATGGTTCTAAAACAAGCTGTTATTAATTTAGTATGCTACTGAAAATAAATTTTGAATAACAATGTAATCCGAATATAGGAGAGTCATCTTTATTACGTTTGTAGAGAAAGAATATTGTTTGCACAACATGGCAAAAGAACAGATGACTTGAAAACCTAGGCTTAACCAAAGCCTGGAAATAAAAACAGGCCTCCACTGTATGTGTAACCCCAAGGACCTGGGCAGTTTAGTCAAGCGGGGCCAGAGTCAGAAAATGAAGGTTAGCAGACTCTGTTTGCCTGGAGAGCAGGATAAGCTTTTCTGAGCTCATCACCTTGTCTAAAATAATTGGAAAATTATGCATCTGAAAAGTTAATTAGTAAAAGAGAGGAATTGAATTTTATATAACTGGTATTACTGTTGTCATTAGATTGTTATTTAAGGGCTACGTATATGTCTTTCAAGCTGCAGATTGTAGCCTGGTTTCTGTGTTGCGCAACATGTTGGAACGACAATTTCTTTTGGAAAAGGAGTGCATCACAAAGAACCACTTTGTTGGACTGGAGAAGTTGGACTCACCACACAAAGGTTTTGTAAGCAAGATCCAGTTTAACCGAACCTGGAGAGAGACTATCTGTGGCAACTGTTTTCTCACTGTAATATTAATGTGGTTAACAGCATAACTCTTTGTCGTATTGCTCTGTGTAGTGGAGGATTATGAGTTAAAGAAATTCTGTTCCAAATTAATTTGTCTTGCAAGTTCTGTTCTTGATTTATTGCCATAGAACCCATGCAGGCATGGGTTGTATATGCAAATATTAAATTCCAACATTTTCTAATGCTAATAAGGATCATTCCCTTTACTGCAGCAGCTCTTGTATATTTTTGCCTTGAGAGTTTTTGTTTTTTGCCAGTGCTTTTTTTTTTAACAATGTTTTGCCTTAAATATATTGGTCATTATGTCTAGACCAAACCCACACCACTTGTTATACCCTAAGCTGGAACACACAACCCTCTAACCCTGTAGGTGACCCATAATGGGGCTGATAAAATCCCTGCTTTTGCTGCTTGCTTGAAACTTCTAAAACTGGGGTGGAGCCAGTGGGAGTGCGGTCCGAGCAAAGGCACTGATTTGCCCCACAAATATTTTTTTTAAATATGCCTTTCAATTTCATGACATTACTTGCTTCCAGTTAAAGAATGGGAACTTGGTTTTAGCACAGGAACTTTTAATATCACTTTTTGAATTTGTAATGTTCCATTAGGAAATTTCCCTGTAAGTTAAATGGCCAGTCTGCCCTTGTTATCATAATACCCTTCTGTATTATTCTGTATTATTTTACTTGTGTGTGTGCTTCTGAACAGTTTCTGACACATACGGTTAATAACTACTAAAATACACAAAGACACTTGGGCATGACAAGAGAATTTTAAAAGTTCCTGCTGGTTAAGGAAGAAATCAGGACCGATTTCCCACAAGCAGCTGCACCGCCCTCGCTCTTCCCTTTCCCCTGATTGTATCCATCAATTTCTTACTACTTGCTATGCAGCCGCATTTTGACACACGACATCCCACCATTTCCCCAATGTCTTCTAGATCCTTGTTTTTTGAGATCGAGAAGATATGGGGGAAAATCGGGGGATGCTGCGGGTCAAATGCGGCTGCACAGCAAGTAGTGGGAAATTGGCGAATACAATTGGGGGAAGGGAAGAAGGAGAAGAGATTGGATTTATACCCCACCCTTCACTTGGAGTCTCACAGCGGCTTACAAACTCCTTCCCCTCCCCACAACAGACACCCTGTGAGGTAGGTGGAGCTGAGAGAGCTCTTTCAAGAACTGCCCTTTCAAGGACAGCTCTTGTCAGAACTATGGCTTGCCCAAGGTCATCCAGCAGCTGCAAGTGAAGGAGTGGGGAATCAAACCCGGCTCTCCCAGATTAGAGTCCGTGCACTTAACCACTGCACCATACTGGAAGAGCGAGGGCAGTGCAGCTGCTTGTGGGAAATTGGTCCAGTTATTTCCTTGATGCACCATCTGGAAACACGGAGCCCCACTTAGTGAGGCTGATTTGGCATACTGGACAGGAAGGATGTAGCATAGCCCTTGATTCCCCCCCCCCCCCAAAATATAGTCCTATGGCTGTCTCTCTTTTCATTAGCTTCACAGAGAATCCCATGAAGAAATTTGAGAGAAATCCAAAAACGAATCAGTATTCGTATGAAAAAATACTGATATTCAGCACAGCTTGGATCGTGCCTAGAATTTCCACAAGTATGAGGAGGGCGGATTTTTGTCAGTTCCCACATGGCAGTCCCTAATGCTTCCTGCAATGCTGCTCTCCCAGGAATAGCTGGGGGGATCAGAGGCCTCCTGCAAGAGATGTGTGTTGACAAAAATCCCCTCCTTCCACCTGAGGAAATGCTAGCCAGGATCTAAGCCCCTATCCAAGTCATATCCTGTGGGAGTAATATTAATGAGACTCACATAGGCTGAATGTAGTTTTCCTGGGACTCAAAAACACATTAATCCTATCAAAAGTATTTTTTTTAAAGTAAGCCATTAAACCACAGCTATGTCACTCTCTCAGAAATAGCAAGAAACAACATATTCATATCTTTGTTGTTAACCTCAGATCTTCCCACACAAAATTTTGTCTCGACACAATCTCCTTTAAAGAACCACATGCCTGCCCGGGCATTCCTGACAGCAGAGACAATAAAGGAACGAAAAAGCATTATTTATTTAAATTATTTCTTGGCCATCTTTCCAGAGAACAGCCCAAAGTTCACAGCCAGGTGCAAAAAGAGTCCCTGAGTGGATCATCCTTGTAATAATCAAGGCTTTTTGATGCGCAGATAGTCCAGCCATGGCACTGGCATTTTTACAGCAACTAAGGCTTCATACCTGACTTTCTGGCTACATGGGCATAGGGGGAAAAACACTCCCATGTAGTCTGTAAATTACATGTGAATAAGACAAGTGGTACAGAGGCTACAGTGAAGGACTAGGATGTGGGGGACTCAGGTTCCTATCTCCACTCTGTCATGGAAGGGTGACCTTGGGCCAGTCACATATTCTGAGCCTAACCTACCTCACAGGGTTGTTGTGAAGAATGGAGGGGAGAACAATGATGTAAGCTGTTTGGGTTCCCATTGGGGAGGGGGGAGGAGGAGGAGATTATATCCCACCCTTCACAGAGACTCAGGGTGGTTTACAAACTCTTTTCCCTTCCCCTCTCCATGACAGACACACATTGGGTGCGTTCAGACCGGCCATTTAAGCCAGCATAAACTGCTCCAGTTGGAACCGGAGCAGTTTGATCTGGAAGAAACGCGATCACACTCACCTCCTGACTGCGCAGCACATCGCAATATGCCCGTTCACACTACCAACATGCAGCAGCGCGCGTCTGCGGGTTTTGCATAGGCAGCCATCCACAGAGTTGAGATCTTCACGCAGGCGCAGAACACCCCATCCCGAAAAGTGTGCCCTGAAGCGAAGACTTCCCTTTAAACTTTTACAGCGAAAAGGGCCTCTGTGAGGTCCCGAACTCGTCTGCAGCCTAAAACTAAGCATTTTTTTTTTTTTTACAAATGCCGGGGCGAAGCTTCGCCCAAGCGCACATCAAGGAGGCATAAAAACAATGGCAGCCAAAAAGCGGAAGCCTCGGCTTCCAAACGGAAGTGGCTCTACACCGGCGGAGAGCAATCAGATGGGCATAATGTGGTTAGAACCGGAGCACTCAGGATACCACCACTTGGTGACCTAGTAGCAGAATACACCAATTTAAAGGGTGTTTGTGACGGTTAGGGACAGAAGGCAGATGTTCGCTGTGTGATTGCACGTAAGTACTCCGATTCTAACCGGCATCTATACCGGCTTAAATGCCTGTCTGAACGCACCCTGTGAGGTAGGTGGGGCTGAGAGAGCTCTTTCGAGAATTGCTCTTGAGAGAACAGGCCTGACAAAGCTGTGGCTTGCCCAAGGTCATCCAGCAGCTGCAAGTGGAGGAGTGGGGAATCAAACCTGGCTCTCCGAGATTAGATTCCATGCACTTAACCACTACACCAAAGTGGGGTATAAATATCTAAATACATAAATAAATAAATTAGTATTTGAAAGTTGTAGTCTTTGGAACGAGATAAGTTTAATTTAGTGTCTACTTTTTAAAACATCACCTTTAAAATGTTGTCTGTCCTACACCTTTGTGGATAGGATGGGCTGAATTTTTTAACACTACCTTAAACAAAATACATGTCTTTATTTGAATGGAGAACTGAAATATCTCTTCACTGTATTGATTCTGACAGACATATAGAAGCCCACCATATCCTGAAGCCTCAGAGCAGCCTTTTGATACCACTTCCCACTGGTTTGCTACTTAACTTGTTTTTGACAAAGTCGGCCATTTGTGCATGTTCAGTCCAGAGCTGGTTGTCAATCAGGGCAATATAAAAACTAGTTACCTGAGTTGGGCCAGGTGTGCCCCCTAAGGGCCCCCCTTTCAGTTTTATTATAGTTCTTTTCTGTTAGGTGAAGCAGCCTGGACTGAGTCTGGATCTTCCACTTCACAGGGAACTCTCAGCACATTCTGCAAGGCTGTTTAGAATATCACAGAACCCATCATACCTGAAGCAGTGAATGGGGAAGCAGAGAAAGTCAGGCGTCCTTCTGTGAAAGTTAGTAACTTCAAAACAGGAAAATACAGGT